CATATCCCGTATCCAGCCCAGGGCCTGCCTTCCATACATGCAAACAAGCGGCCTGGGCCTGGGTGCTCTTCAACCAACTGGCGCTGCGCAACTGCGTGAATTTTCCACAGTTGCGTGGTGGTGACCAAGATAGGGGCCCTCAGGCCCTCGTCAAGCCTGCCTTCACTGAGGGCAGCCGACGTGCTGCATAACAGGGCCAAAAGGGGCTCATCGGGGCCTTGGCCTCGCATTCCCTCCTCCATAACTTTGATAGCCCTCTAAGAAATTCAGTCTTCGATAATCTGGCGCTTTCCCTTCTGCAGAGACTTTTCATATTGGGCAACAACCTGAGGAGCGGTCTGCATCAGTTCCTCCCTGGTGAACCATCGATCCTCCTTTGGATCCGTGATGTCTGTACCGAACCCGGTATTGCAGCTTCGGTTTCGGAGGACGTCCCCTGCCTGTCGGTCTTGGAACTGGCATTTCCTTATGGTCGACGATGTCATCGACGTCGACCTCTCCATCCATGGTTGGGGGCAGCATTGAGCGACGAGAGGGAAACTGATCAGTTTCCTCGAAAGGTGCAAGCTTAGAAGCGTGAAAGACAGGATAAGTGCGGAGATGACCAGGGATCCGGATTACATAAGACGGTTCATCCAGATCAGTCCCGACGATGTCTAAGACCTCCCATGGTCCGAAGTACCGAGGCATGAGCTTGCGGGAAGATCCCTTGCTCCTGTCCCAGTTCTGAGGACTTAACCCAGACTTTGTCCCCAACCTGGAATGTAGATGGGCGGCGGTGCCTGTTTTCAGATTCTATCATTGCCGCCTGTGCCTTTTGCATCTGTTCTACTGCCTGCTGCATTTTCTGTTCGTAGCGATAAGCGGATTCTAAGTTACCCGATGCAGCGGTTGGGTGATTCTCAGGATGGAGAAAATCTAAGGGCAGTCTAGGCTTGAAGGTCAATAATAAGTTGTTTGGGCTCACCCCGATGGCGCTGTGTACAATGTTATTGTACAGGCTGGCGATGAGAGCAAGCTTCTCATCCCAGTCCACCTGATTGGGCTTGATGTAATGCCGCAGCAGGTGTTGTACAACACAGTTCAGTTGCTCGGCTTGGCCATTGGCCTCTGGGTGATTCCTATAAGTCATCTGCAACTGCGTTCCCTGTTCGGCAGCGGCAGCCTTCCACAACTCACTGGTGAATCTGACATCCCTGTCACTCACGATTGACTTAGGCAGACCAAAATCTCTGACCTAGTTCTCCTTGAACAATCTGATCACGTACTCGGTTTTCGCTGTCTCTGGCATAGCAATTAACCTAGCGTACTTACTAAATCTATCCACAATGACAAAGATGTGTCGCATTCCACTCTTGCTGGTTACCAAGGTGTCCATGAAGTCCATGGACAGACTCTCACCAGGCCTTTCCAGAATTGGAAGGGGCTTGAGGAGCCCAAGAGAGGCCTGTGTACGGGGCTTGTCTCTCTGACAAACCTGACAAGTCTCCATGTACAGCTTGGCATCTCTCATCATCGTGGGCCACCAGAACCGCTGCAACAGGTTGGCTGCAGTCTTCTTAAAGCCAAAATGTCCGGTGGCATCATGACACTCACCTAAAAATAAACTACGCAAAGACTCCCTATCTGGCACACACAAACGTTTATTCCCTGCCTTCTCAAGGAACAGCAATCCGTTGACCAACTCAAACTCGGTAGAAGTTGCTTTGTCCTTCATCTCGAGTCTGCGTATGATCTCAGACATAAACCGGTCCTCGCGATAGGCTTCCACCAAAGACTGTGTAACATCGTCCGCAAGCCCAAACTCAGTGATCAACGCACCAGAGAAATCTGGTCTACGTGACAGTGCATCAACAACCTTGTTGTACTCGCCCTTGATGTACTAGGGCTCCAAGTTATACTGCTCTATGACTTCAATCCAACGCTTCAAAGCGTCAAAGAGCACAGGCTGGGTTCTCATCCACTTCAGGGCTTGGTGATCAGTCTTGACATAGAAGAACCTCCCAAGGAGATAGTGTTTCCAATGGGTGAGCGCCTTGTAGATTGCATAGAGTTCCTTCTCATAGGTGGACTTAGCTAACTTCTGAGAGGGCATCTTTTTGGACATGTACTCTACTGGCCTCAACTTCTTCCCCTCCTGTTGCGCAAGTACGGCGCCTATGCCATATTGGCTAGCATCCGTAGTTACTATAAATGGTTTGTCAGGATTAGGAAGTTTCAAGACCTCATGATGCGTCAACGCATGCTTCAGATGTCTAAAAGCAACCTCTCATCTGTCTGTCCACTCCCATGGGGTGTCAAGGCGAGTCAGATCAGTCAAAGGGGCGGCAACTATGCTATAGTTCTTCACGAAATTGCGAGAGTAGTTGGTCATCCCTAAGAAAGAACTCATCTCAGTCACAGACTGATGACGCGGTCAGTCACGAATGCTAGCCACCTTCGCGTCATCGGGCTTTAATCCCTGCGCGGAAATCTCATGACCTCAGTACAAGACACGGATGCGGCCAAACTCGCACTTCTTCCTGTTGATCTTGAACTTGTGTTGTCGCAGAAGACTCAGGAGTTTGTCCAAGTGCGCAACATGCTCCTCGACAGTCTTACTAAAAATAAGTATGTCATCGAGGTACATGATGGCAAACTTATCCAAGTAGTCATGAAATGTCCGATTCATAGCGTGTTGAAAGGTGCCAGGAGTATTGCAAAGGCCGAAAGGCATCACCACAAACTCGTACAGACCGTACCTGGTCTGAAAAGCGGTTTTGTGTTGATCCTCGGGCCGGATTGCAATCAAATGGTACTCGGACTTCAGATTTATCTTATTGAAGTACCGACACCCTTGCACTCTATCTAGCAAGTCATCGATGCGCGGTAGGGGCTCTCTGTTCTTGACAGTGATGGCATTGAGGCCCCTATAATCAATGCACATCCTAAGTGTTCCTTCCTTCTTCTTTGGTACGAATAGGACTGGTGAACCATAAGGAGAACCACTCCGTCGGATCCAACCCTTTCCTACGAGTTCCTTGAGTTGTCGGCGAAGCTCGTCAAGCTCGCTTGGAGACATCCGGTAGATCCTACCCTTCGGGATGCTAGACCCTGGGATAATCTCTATCGTGTGGACGACCTCCCTCTCAACAACCCCTGTCAGCTCTTCAAATAGATCAGGGTATTTAGCAACTACTCCCTCTATCTCCGACGGCATTTTCACCGGCTCGCCTGCAGCAGAGACATAAACTAGATACATACCCTCCTCATATTTTGCTTATAGTAATTATAGAACGCAGTCGTGCACATGCATCAGTGGGACTCGATCAGACTACTAGCTTTGAACTTACGTAATCTTGCGGTCCTCGCACCTGGCAAAGTGTGTTTGACCACTTTTCGGTCCCAGTCAAACTGGGGTTGTGCCACAAAGAGGTAGTACATACCTAACAACATATCCATGGGGAGTTCATCGCTCACTAGGAACGAGACGCGATATCTCAGTTCCCCTCCCGCGTACGGGAAACAACACTCAACATCTTGGAGGTAGTCATGGACTACCATGTGCTGTTTGTTGGCACAGGTCAACTCAGGCGTTGCACTTGCCCCTGTAAGCGCAGCCTCTCAACGCACGCGCGACTAATGAAGTTCCGTGTCGAGCAAGTGTCATAATAGGCCCCGGCCTTGTGGTCGTCGATGACTACCTCGCTGACGGACATCTCACCCTTACGAGCTTTGGCTAGTTCCGTCCAAGAAGCTAGTGGGTCTGCTCTAGACCACTCCTCCTCTAGCTCCTCTAAGGACTCAAACACATTCATTGAATAGAGGGTCGATGGGTCTGAATGTATTTGCGGGACGACGGTGGAGTCAGTAGCTTCGGCCATCTCTCGAAATGGTGAGGGTGTGTCCACCACCTCGACCCTAGCAGGAACAACTATTATTCCTACTGGCCCGACGTGTTTCCCGGAGCAGTGCCTGAAGTGCTGGCAACATTGCTACCAACGGAAGCGGAGGATCTTACCGCCTGCCCCATCGTAAGCGGGATCTTCTCGGTCACCTTCTTATTTCGGCACTTTAATTGGTTATGGCCATATTGGCCACAACGGATACAAGTTTGCCGTGTGTACCGATCTCTCCACACGTCCTCCGTGAGACCCACTTTCTCCCATGGAGCATTGGGGTCAACTTGACTCCTAGACTAGGAACCTCCACGGCGTCTACCGGTCACCTTACCTTTTTGAGCTACGGCAGCGACTACTCCACCCCCTGAAGCTTCCCCGCTGCCATCCTCTGAACCTACTCCCTCCTGGAAGTTGTCGTCTAACTCGATGGTTGAACCATCGTTATCGACAAACATAATGCGACCCTTCGGGGCCTTCGCCTTCCAGTTGGGAGGCAGTGTTTTCTTCCTACCATCCGTTGTGGGATTATGTCCATGCCCTATCTTTGCCTCAAGGTCTAGGGCCTTCTTGCTGAACAAGGGAAAGTTGTGCACATTGATGTTGGCCTCACCAGCCAACTGATTCCTGAGAGGCATGGGAAAGCATCTCAGGTAGGAGGTGAGTAAGACCTGGGGGTCATAGCGAACCCCAGGGACACAGATAAGATGCTCTACAGCGTCAGTGGCCTCCCTTACTGACTTTAACTGCCCCGTGTGTAGTGTCAGGATCGCGTCAGTGGCCTTTTGGGCCTCCTGAGGATCGTGCCACCTGTCTTCCACCAACTTGAGAAAGTCATCCAATTTTTGGGTGACCGCCCAAGCGCGAAAGTCATGACCATACCCCTGGAGTTGTACTAAACCACTCAACCATCGTGCTGCACTCCCCTCTAAATAGGAGGCAACCACAAGCACTTCCCCGTGTGGCAAGGTAAGTTTGCACTTGACATAGACTGGCACTGCCCTCAACCAAGTGTCGAGGTCTTCGCCTCTCTTGTCTCCTGTAAAAGGTTTGGGAGCGGCGATGGCCGTCTTTGGTACCCACTGACTTTGTCCCGGTCCCTGCATCACTCCGGTCTATGGACCCTGCGGTGCAGGCTGCTGCACTAACTGCTGGGGATGTGTGCCCTACGGCTGTGCAGGCTGCACGCTTACGACAACATGTGACGGAGATTGAGTGAACATTGTCTGTACAGGAACCTGCAAACTAGGACTTGCTGAGAACCCTCCTGATAATGGCATGCCCAGGGAAACGGTCTGGACCGATGTTGGGGCTGTATATGGGGATACCCCAGTCACTGGTGGGAAAAAAGGAGGAGGATGTACAACGGGCCAGGCACCGGGCCCGAACGGTGATGGTGACGCCTGCATTCGCCCGACTAACACAGCCAGACGTTGTGTAAGATCTTCATTTGGTGATCTTGCATTTCTACTACGCTCAACAAGACCGACCGTATGGTCCTCATGTCATCCTCCATCTCTGTAGTGTCCATCTCCTCTAACTCACCAACGTCCGCTTGCCTCCGCTGCATCCTGGCTCTTCTCCTAATCATTCTCTCTTTCTCAGCCTTAATCTCTCCCAACGCCTGTTGTAGTTGTGCCTCGCGATCAGCAGCTCGCTGTATGGCGACCTCCTCGGGAGTCATCACTAAGGGCTGGCTCGCCATTACGCCAGTTGACTGACTCTGGGTCTGCGCGACCGTTGACCCTACAGCTCCAGAACTGCTAGCCTGGGAACTTTGCTGCGCAGAAGTGGCCATGGCTACCGAAGCTGCGGCTTCGCTTACAAACGCCCTGCTAGCCACTGTTGCTCTAGCTCTCCTCTGCTGCTGCAGCCTCTCCCTACGCCGGCGGAACAGGTATCTGTCGCCCTCTGGTCCTAAAGCCAAATGGGCAATCGGGCGCCTAGCCGATCGCAGGATCCGGTCGTCCTCTCTAGTGTCCTCCCCGTCGCTCATAAGCTACAACACTGTACACAATCTGCACTAGTGCACTCTAGATGCCTACCGAAGTGTAATGCACAGACCAACTTAAAATAAATAATTGGTAGCTATGTTAGAGACTATACATTCGGGTTCAACAAGTAAGTTCAAATTCTTGCAAACGCAAAACTATTGCACTTTGATTAGTCCGCAAACAGAAAGCACAAGGAACACAAAGCAGTTCTAACTAATGTTGTCTGTTAGATGTGAATGGTTAATCAAAATAAAAATAGAATCGTTTGTTTAGTCTGTTCACAGCATGGGATCTTACTCAAACTTGTCACCTGGAATCCACCCCTTCCCCAATTCCCCTTAATTGTCACTTAACGTCAGCGTCCCTAAGCAATCCGGTTTGGCGTGCGTGACTAAAGGTGTGCACACAACCCACCCCTGTGCCCCGAGTAGCTGCTGAGCTGGCCAGCCCTGCACTGTGTTTATCCTCGCGTGCAGCGAGCCTTACACCCATTGCCCGATCCAGAGGCAATTAAATGACTGCCCCCAAGTGTCATCAGGAATTATTTTACGTCGCAGCAGGACGACGATCACAACCAATGGTTTCCCCAACTGGTGTTTATTTATAGACGCCCGGTACTCATCTCTCCCATAGGACTCGCCTGCCCTTCAGTACCCCTTCTATGAGCGCAGCAAGCAGACAAGGACAAAGCAGTAAAGCATGCGTGCTCTACTCCCGGTGGGTTGGCATGGTGATCGTGACCCAGTGCTCCGTCCAGGGCCCTTCAGAAAGCACCGCCCTCTCCTTCCAGATGCTCCACAAGAACAATGCCGACTCTCAAGGTTGAGCGCACACAACACCTCACATGAGAGGACTCTCAAGAAAGAACTCACAACCTCACGGTAAGAAGTGATGAAGAGGGTAGATAAGGTTAAGAGCAACGTACCTCATTATAGCTGCCCCCAACCATAGATATTCTCACCAGATGACCTGATGGCGATTGTGATGACCAGTCACTGCATCGGCACAACCAGCATTATCTCGCCGTTCCAGCCCAGCATCAATCAACCACCAGATACTTCTCATCACACTGCGAACACCCAATATACACACCGTAGCCTTCCTGGCGATTCCCCTCTCCTCCTGGGTCGCCAACACCTTGTCTCCGCCCTCCTACACACCACCTACGGCCAAACTCACCAAGCAGACCACATGTATGTACCGCATAGGCAGAAGACAAGCGCCAGATGAGCGCAACGCACCACAGCTCTGATACCAATTTGCAAGGAAGATGAGCAATAGCGAACTTCAACAATCAAACAACATCATACACATAAGACCAGATAGTTCTGACCTCAAACCAAGCGCAAAATTGCATCACGAGTTTCACCAAATAAGAGCACACCAAAAGCTCATAATTGACAATGCTGGAATAGTCTCATCATCATCAACGAAGAACCAATGTTGATATCCTATCTGGCGCTCGGCGCCCAGACTACAGATGGCAGATCCTATCTAGCCTAGACTACAATGCCGAAGATGACGACAA